CTACTTCCCATCGACGTGTCGACCCATCTAGACAGCCTCTTCTCGAGTTGACAGGTTTTACCATGATGGCTTGACGAGCTTGCTCCAGCTTCACAAGAGTTCACAGGTTTCACCAGAGTGAGACTTGTAAACCGGAACTAGTGAAGCAACGAAAGTGCAAAACGCCCCCTCCTCGTCGCCGAACTGCGCCAAACTGGAGTTTCAGTCTCTCCCCTCCCCGACATGAAATAATAGATACATCGAGGGAACCGTCTTTTTCGACCATTGATTTCTAAGTAGAGGAACAAGACAAATAAAAGTTTCCCGGATAAAAAAGAAAAGAATAAAAATGATGGAAATGGGCTGTTCTGATGAGAGTTCAAACGCTCTACTAAAATCCCTGACTAAAGTTCAACTTCGTCATCGTCTAGAATGACGAAACAGTCCTCTCCTAGCTCTTCCTCTTCTTCTGGCACGTACTTGGCTTGTTGAGGCTAAACTGTACGGAATTGAGAAAGTGCCTGACGTAGTAAACTTCTGAGGAAAGACACATATGTACAAAACACGTAAAAAACGAACCAATTGTATAACCAAACCGTCTGTAACGTCTGCGGTTTTCAATTAGGGCAGGAGAAATGCATGGTGCATTCCGAACAGCGGCTCTCAACGATGCTTTCATCACCATTATTAGGCCCCGACCACCAAATCGTCTAATCTACCAACTTCTCGCCTAGACAACGGTACGGGATGTACCTCGTGCGACACGAGGTACCCTGTACCGTCCTCTTTTCCTCTGCCCCTCTTTCTCATGCTTATACCCCCCACCCCACAGATCCCGCCGTTGATGATACCCAGGGAGTGGGATAGTATTAGCCCATGCGAAATGTTTTCGGCTGAAGTGTGGCTTTTCACGGTTTTTCCTGTTTTTGGTGGGAAAACTGGAGAATTTTCGGAAAAATCAAAAGTGAAAAGTGGTCGGAGGTTTTGAGAATTAAGGGAGATTGCAGGCAGCATGGAAGGTGGTGAGGAGAGGTCGTATCAGAGTAGCCCATTCCGCAGATAATTTCCCTAGGATGTTTCCTGTCTTACCAAGTGCCCTATGGGAGGTTCCCCCATTTAAAGGTGATGGAAAGTCTCACCAACCATTGGAAACTCAAAGGTTTTTAATGAAACTTGAACATTAAAGTTTAGATCAACAAGATCCAGTAAAGATGTTAGAAAGATTTGCAAACAAATTGCTATAGCATATTTTGTACTGGAAAGTAGTACCAAAGATCCAAATTTTCTACCGAAGGAAACCCGTTGGCTTTGTGCCCGTTAATTTGTTCCTGTCGCTGACGTTTCAAAGGCGCCGGATTTTTCGGCGTACTGCCGAGTGAAGCACGTTTAGAGGCCTGAAATTCAATGTATTACACAACACAAATTGCTTCGATCTTACTATTTCAAATCTTTCACAACTAACTTGTTTTTTCGTATCAGGGCTTCTGTGAGAAGAACCAGCGCTGCGAACACCAGCTGCAATGGCTGCTCTGTACGCACGTTTTTCTTCCTAGACATTGAGAAATCATGAATTCTTCCAACATGGAGTAAACTTTGACGATATTACCTCGATCGCAGCTAAACGCTGCGCCCTAACACTATCTCGTCGTTGTCGTAGTTTGCGGCTGACGACGCCGTCGTTTGAACTTTCCTAAGAACGGATGATTAACATGAAGAGCATCCTCAATTCCTTTCACATTTGAAGCCGTCATGGGCTTGCCCCCGTTTTCCAGGCTATGTCTTTCTGAACTGATTGTCTCCCTTACTCCCTCCTAACTTTTGAAAGACTATTTTCGTGGGGTGCACTTCGTTCTTATTCAGCAGTCCGGGGACGTCATAGGTCCAGGATCCTAGTGAGGGGGAGGGGGAGTCGTTGGTCACTGGGAGGAAGTCGTCGCTACCCCCCTCCCTGCTCATCGGCAAGTCCTTTGGAGGAAAACCTAAGCTCCCGAAAAAAAAATCCGGAAAAAAAGAAGCTGGGAGAATTTGTGAACATGGCAGGTGGTATGAGGGATAAGGAAGGGGAATAGCTACCAGTGGAAGAACTTTTGAGAGTGGGGAGGGGGAGTGGGGGAATCGTATTTTGTAAAAATTTTCCCCAACAGCAGGACGTGCCCAGTTAGCAATGTATGCTGTGTGATGCTGTATTGAGCGCTAGTCCTCACTTAGCCTGAGAAGGGAATTATGCTCAATACGTCACCAGTAAAAGTTTTCGGAAGAGGAAAATCTGCCGTTTACCTGTTTCAAACACCGAAACGAAAAGAGAACTTTTACTCGGTATAAAAAACAATTTCAAGTGATCTGTAGAACTAATTTAGGTAATTTGAAACACGTGCATGCAAGTCCACTTTTTCCGTGATCCAAAATTAGACAATATGCTTACTTGATTATCTTCATTTTCCTCTTCATCGCTATCGTCGCAACAGTCAGCGCAATGCCATTCGCAGTTAACCTTGACGAAGAAAGTTCGAGGGTGCAAGCGAATAAAGATGGAAAAGTCTGGAATGGCGGCAAAATCGACTTCGGAAACAACCCACTTTTTTCGGAACCCTTTCCAGGGGCGGATCAAGGCAACCAATATGGTAGTATTCGT